CAAAGGCGTGCATGCCGCACTGTTACAACAACGGCTCAGCTCAGCCCAGCGCTCTGCCACGCTGGCGACACAGCAGGGTTACTCACTAAAGGCTTGGGTAAAACTTGTTTATACAAGGGGAAATCCCCAGAATATGCCAGGCGGTGTTGCAGGAACTTTCATGAATAACAATATCCCAATTTGAGGATCCATTCATACAGGCCATAAATCTAGAAGGAACTTCCAGTCTTACTTTATACATGAAGAAACCAGGGCCTCGAGAGTGATTCAAGCTGACTGTGGTCACACGGGGCCACGAGGCGGCAAAGCAGTTCCAGCACACCATGCCAGGTCCAGGTGGAGGCCCAGTACACGCCTAGGCGCCCACAATCTCCAGGGTAGCAGCCGCTTTCTCGAAGCGGAAGCCTTCTGGACGGTGGCCCAGGTGGAACAGAGTAGGCATAGGCACCAAAGGCAGAGTGTCACCTATTGCTCTGCAGAGTTTGGGCTCAGTGGAAGACGGTGTGAGTTTCTGTTCAAAGGAGTCTATAGTAATTAGCTAAGACTGTTAGGTTCTAAAGTAGATTTAGGGCTGGGGAGATGGCTCAGTGGAATAAGCGCTTCCCTGGCAAGCGCAAGGGCCTGAGTTCAATCCCCAGTTCACTATGAAGGCAACACATTCCAGGAGGCAGCTAGAATCTGGGAAGGAATCCTCAGGGGGGCTTGGGAAAGAAGCAAAGAAGATCACCATCCCGATAGGGAGGACGTCGCAGAACTGACATGCCTCTGCAATCCCGGGCTGCATCTTCCTATCTGAAGTAAGTGATCTGCTACATGGGTGGCCTGCAAACTCAAGCTTATTTTAGAGAGAAAGTTGAGAAATACTTTTCTACTCTGCCCTTTGCTAGAGAGGGATGAGAAGTCTTACACAGGGATCCAGGACAGAAATGGGAGAAAGACTGCAGGACCCTGAAGGGGGTCATGTGACACTGGGAAAGAAGCCCCACAGAGCCGGGCTGACATCAATGCTAATATACGTGTGCTGGAAGAGAAATCAGGGCACTGTGTGCACAAGTGCTGATTCCCTTCTGAGGGCAAAGAGAGGGTAAGTTTTAGGGTGGCAGGTACAGATTTTTATACTTTGGCAGAAATACATTGTTTTTCTTATGGGCGGGTATTTTTGAGACCAGGCTGTCTTCCTTTTTTTAATGCAAGCAATTCCCGAACAGTTGCACTGCAGGCCTCTAGAACAGCTTTAATGACCATTAATAATGTGAGATCATACCAACAGAGAAGCTGTAAATTTTGCTGATATCGGCTTTTCCCTGCATTAACGATGAAAACTGAAGTGTTGGGTAAGCAAGAAAAACTTCAGCCTATCTAAAGGGAAAAGCACTAAGTAGTTGAAAATATCTAAATCTTCCTTGGAAACAGAAGCTTTTCAGTGGTATTGCTAAGGCAATTTGTAATGAAGGAAGCTTTAGAATTAGCTAGAGTCAGGCGGCTCTTGAGGTCGGTGGTCACGTGGGTTTGTCTTTCTGTCTTGATGCCCCAGAATCCTGTCTGTCCTCAGTCCCACTCAACGGAGTGAACCAACTCCACAGAATAAACAACTAATCAGAAGCTTTCACATGGAAATGTGAAGGAGCAGGGCCTCTTGGACTATGGACACATGGTATCTGATCCATGCCGAATCACTGATGACAGCAGAACGGCTCAATGGTGCGGACCACATCAGGTCTCTAGCAAGTCCACTTAGAGGATGCATTTTCTAATCCAGGAGGTGTTGCATCTGTTCTTCCAGTTCCCATTCTGACAGTCACTCAAGACAGACTTAGGAAGCAGGAAAAAGAGTTTACTTATTTGGTAGCACTCATCCAAAGAATAGTAGATTTATGTCAACCACGTGGTTGACATGAATCGCTCTGCTCTTCATTTGCTTCCACCAGTATTTAAAATTAGCACCGTGAAGAAACAGAATTATGTTCTGTTTCCAGGTAGCACAAATTTGGGAAGGAGAGCTGAAGCACAGGACCACACAAGTCCACTAACAATCGTAACTGAGAACCTTGAGTCAGGTCTGAACGAGAACAGATTCATGAGGACACTGCTCTTCTTCTCAGGCTTTCTGGGAGAGAGAAATATAAATGAACAATGGCAGAAGAGGGGCTGAAGTGGGGACTTTTGTACGAAGATAAGTGTGGAGGAAGACCCATCCCCAGCACTCTGTTGCTGGAGTCAGAAGCTGGGATGATTTAGTGAAGCATGTGTCAGAACAAGATAGAGAACGCAGACATCAGTAACCAAGAGAAGGGAAGCTGGATTCAGAGATGGAAAGGGAACACTTCAACAGGGAAGAATCTGTAGTTTTGTGTGATTACAGAATGTAACCCAGGGACACTAAGAACTAAAGGACAGGCAAGGACTTGGGTCAGTTCGGCACACTAAGAAGAGTAATGTGAAATCCCATGCAGATGAACTTCCAGGTTTGGGATGGCAGAGTAAAACACGTGTTCCCCTCCTCCTTGAAAATCACCCGTGGCTGCTGTGGCCTACATGGCCATGACCCATGAAAATGGTGACAGGCAGGTGAAGGTCACGGCATGACCCCAGAAGGGCAGCGTTCCCGGAAGCTAGGATGGACGGGTGGAGCCAGGGGCAGCATACCAGGAAAGTGCACTGAAACCAGGGACAGGGCTGGGACCCACAGCACCGAGCACTCCTGTGAGCAACACCCAAGCTGACTGGGCAGCAGGGCCAGCCCACCATTGGGGGTGGGATATGGGGTGAGGGAGCAGTGGGTAGGGAGGGTTGGGGCAGTGTTTATTTTTTAAAAGTCATTTAGTTTTTAAATATTTAAAGGAAAACTTTTCATAGCAGTAGTGTACAGTTTGAACTAATCTTACACAGTTCTTACTCAGAAGACTTTTTCCTCCAATACGTATGGTTGGGCCAGTGCTGCAGAGGGCTACATCATGGGAAGCTCCTAAAGGTTCGCCGCCACTGGTCTTGGCCACGAGCCCGCTCTGGAGGTTCTGATTTTAGTGTGGGGCCTGGGAAACTTGCGTTTTCTGAGCTGCTCACTCTGGAGAAGACAGTGCGGCAGGGGCGACGGGTTGGCCAGGGGATGCTGTCATTCAAAGCCTCACTTGCCAATGATGTGTGGATGTGATCCGAAGAGAGGGAGGACAGCAGCCCAGGAGGACACCAGGGAGCTGCTTGGGCAGTGGAAGACGTAGCTGCGGCTGAGGCCCCGGGTGGCAGGGCCCTGTGTTTACCCCCAGAGCACCAGGGAGGCTGACTATGCAGTGGCCGAGCAACGAGGTCAGCAGCCAGCGGTGGCTAAGGTACAGGGACTGGTCTTGGGTCTGTAAGGAATCCAGCTTCTCCTAGCGAGATGGCAAGCCACCTGATTGGACAATGAGTATTAAAATAGTAATTTTACATACATAAAAATGTAAAATTGTAGAAAGCAGTGAAACCTGATAATTAATAACAAAATAGAAACTGTGACTAGGAATGTAACTGGGAGAAGAAATGTAGACAACACCTGTGATCATGCCAGCGTGCTGAACAAATGCTCACGGAGCAGGTGGACAGCAGGGGCTCTCCTGCTCCGCAGGGCACCCAAGGCCCCAGGCACACCTGAGCCCCCTGTGCATGCACTGCCACCCTGCAGAGACTTGCCGGACAGCCAGGCGGCATGGGGACCGAGAGGTGGCCTCCTACCCAAAGAAGCAAGACACGGGCCTGCCAGGACAGCAGCAGGAAAGCTGCAACTTCAAACATACACCGCTGACTTTGGAACTGTTCTACTGAGAACGTCCTGGCAGACTCGACCGTGGTGACCAGAAACTGGAAAATGGAACAGTTAAGAGGACAGACCGTGTGACACTCATCCTCAGGGACCATCATCCACGAATGATCTCACCCGATAGATTTCCCTGCTTTCTACTGGGTAGGCCACGAAAGGATTTATGGATCATTTCAAAGCTTCTCTTTGGTTTGAAAGATTCACATTTTTCACGCCTCTCGAGTGTGTGCCTTCCTGGCTTACAGCTTTAAAGCTGTACTCATATGATGAAAATCCATACGGACTTGTGCACACTCTTATAAACCAAGAACTTTATAGATTTTTATCCAAAGTCCTTTTTTGCCCCCAAACTTACGAGCCCAGCGTGCTGGCTGCCAGGGAAACAAGAAAAGTGACAGACATACTTCAGACAGAAAGAGTTCACGCGGTTGCTCCGCTTGCACTGTTACTGCTGCAGCTTCTGAGTCAGGCAACGTGCTCTTTACAGATGACAAAGATTAGCGCTTGCTCTTAAATTATTTTGGTGATAAATACGCCAGGGACAGCAAAACAACCCTGTTCTTTAGTCTTTGGTGTTAGTACTGCTTTTGCTGATAACAGAATGTTCCAAATCATGCATGTTTTGATTAACATAAAAGTGACATGCAGCGAGCGCCTTCAACCACTTGCAGCAGGGCTTTCTTCAGTCACGACGAGGAACGGACTTCTGCTATGACTCATAATGGAAAATGCATAATTTCTGAGAAAACTATGAATTTTAAAGTCATATTATCTTAAAAGCATTACCTTACATGGTCACGAGACTTATGTTCTTTTCATAAATCACTGACAGATGAGCATCAGAAAAAAAAATATTTTTAAAGAACATTATCTGTGTTAGTGAGAAGTTAAATCACATGATTTACCAAATGAATAGTGTACTTCCATTTCTCTCTGAATCAGCTAAGATTTGTAGTGATAACTTTGGGTAAAGCATAGAAAAAATTACACAAATCAACACACGACTATGATAATGTAGTGAACTCACTTTTAAGGAGAAAGATTGACTTTTGGTTACTTTATGTCAGAGTTATAAAACAGAAAAGAGTAGAAAACGTGGTTATTTTGTTTAGCAGTTTTCTTAGACTGGAAAAGTACCAATGAAACCTCCAGGGTGAAGAATTTAAACGAGGCTGCTAGACAGAGAAGACAGACTGCGTCAGCTTACCACGTGAACCATTTTGAGATATCTGGCATATCTTGGATCCTCAGCTACAGTTAAGATATTTTCTGACGATACTTCACTTTCCTGTGGTCCAGGGTCCTGTGTACTGTTCTGCTGTAGAGAGTATTTTATGTAAATCTTTAGACACTTCAAAGAAAGGACCCCATCAGGCTACTTAAATAGGTAAGTTTTTCTTTATAATTAAAGGCAATAAATAGCAGAGAAGACTGTATTTCTAAATTTAAATATCAGTAGTTTAATTACAGGATATACATTTTTATTTGTCTACTGACACTTAAATATGACACTTAACTACATTTAACACCACAAACATACTGTTCTTGAGAATGAAAAAATATTTATGGCATTAAAATTTATTATTATTTTTATTTAAATTCTACTTTGTCCCCAGTGACAATATAAACCATGGAATACATGTGGCTACAATACTTAATAAAACTCAGAATACAGCCAGCGAAACTCATGTGGTCAGCTGCTCTGCAGACAGTGAGTTGACTCCCTAGGAATCCCCATCTCCCCGGCCGACTCCCCCAACACCCTGTACTCCAGGCACACGCGACTACTCTTAACATTTCCGGAAACACTGCCTACAGGTTCTGTGGGGTAGAACCTAGCTTGTCAGATAAAATTAGTTTTGGACATTTTAGCTACTAACAGAATCATTATTAATGGTACTACTCTCCAAGAACAGCTGAGGTTGCTCAATGAACTCTATACATATACTGGGGCATGGTGTCTTTAGATGAGAAGGCTCCTGTTACGAGAAGGCACAGAACTATGTTAGCTGCAGCGCAGAGCTAAGACACCTGTACCAAAATCTCATTTTTTGGTCAATCAATGGCTATGACTCATCCTCATGGCTGACACTGACAAAGGATCTACAAAGTGCGGTACAAGGCTACAGGATAAATCCTAAGAGTACTTGAATGACCTTATCAGATACAAAAGTTACTTTCTTGTTATATAGGTCTTGCTATATCTTGGTCTTAACCATCCAGCAGAAAAGTATAAAAATGAGGTATATAAAGTAAAGCCGTATTAATACGATGAGCTGTAAAAGGCTCAAGTCAATAACTTCTGAGGATAACCCGCTAATATCACAGACTGCTAGACACTGTTAGATTGTTTAGCTGAATTCAAACATCTATAGTATTTAGATATCCATTTAGGATATCTAAATAGGATATCCAATAGGCTATCCATTTCTGACAGGGCAAAAAAAAAAAAAAAAAAAAAAGATATAAAGGAAAGACCATTTTGTATTTATATACACAAAAGAGTTAGAATAAATACACAGCTACTTTCACTTAATTCAGTGAGAAGAAAGAGGTGTACTAATAGTGTTTGGACAGGATATCCTGTCTGCTTCTTGTACTATGGATAACCACTAAGAAGAAAACAAGGTACAATGTATTGATTATCAAAACTGTCCTATTAATCAGCTTTGAAACTGTCTCATTCATATTTCTCAATTTTAAAAAAATCTCATTTTTTTTTTATCAAACTGAACACTTAGCATAAATGTACTTTTGTGAATCTCAGTATCTACACGTAAGTGTTAAGAGGACTTCCTTTAACAAGTAAAATAAATTTATTTCTATCAATCAGAATGCTGATAAGGGCGAGCCAGATAGCTCAGCAGATTAAAGCACCTGCTTAGGCAGACACAATGACCGGGGGCTCGGTCCCTTGTGTGCCATGCCAGCCCCGCCCCCATACCATGCTGAGAAGGCCACTGAGACTGAGTGTGGTAGTGTAATCCCAGCGCTTGGGAGGCTGAAAACAGGAGGATCACTATGAGTCCGATCTACGCAGTGAGACCCTGTAGACCTTGTACTAAATACATAAAAGAGAAAAAAACTGATAAATCAATAAATACCTTCAAAATTTTACTGTCTTTAGAATACGAATGTGAGTCATGTTAAAGGTTTTTCTCAGGGGCTGGTGAGATGGCTCAGTGGTCTAAAGCACCTACTTAGAACAAGCTTAGCAAAGCACAGGGACCGGGATTCAGTCCCCCAGCACCACATGCTAGCCTGCCCCGCCCCCTGGTGGGATGAGCTGGCCACACACACACACACACACACACACACGCACACACACAAATAAAATAAAATTTAAAAAAAGTTTTTCTCAAACAATTCATATAAACTACATCAAAAACTCTGAAGCAAATAAACATCACCAAATCCTTCAGGTTTCTCACATTACACTGTTGATGTTAAAAAGTTAATGTACACACATGAATATGCATATAAAAATGAAAAACTCTAAAACAATTAAATAAAAAAAAAAACTCCAAGTCTGTTTCTAAAAAAATTGTGGAGAACAAAGTCTAGCAGCAGAGCGTGGCGGGCGACGGCAGCGCTCCAGCCTGCCCCAGCAGCCGGGGCTGTGCGGTAACCCTGCCCTCCCGAGCTCCTCGGGCACCGCCTTGCACGCGGGCACCTGGTGCCCGGGAAGTCCGCGCTCCTCTCCCAGCTGGCCTCCTTTCTGTTCTCAAGGTGATCTCAGCCTGTGTAAATGGATGTTCCACTGAGAATAATGGGAAGATCTAAACTATAAAATTAAAGCTGTAAAAAACCAGGATGGAAGCTTTTGGGTTTTGATTCACACAGAGGTTAGAGGCAGTGATAAATGGCTGATTTTGTTAATGAAAAGCTCTCTGATAATAAAGTTGTCCTCTAGCACAAATGGACACTAGGTAAAGCTTCAGTTAAGCTCATTTCAAAATATTTACATAAAACATGCCAATAACAAAGAAGAGGAAATACATAAGAACAACATGCTGGTAAAACTTACTAAGTTGAGCAAAGAAAACTTTATTATAATTTTTAAGTGGAGTTGGTAAATTCTCTAAATAAATATACAATTTTAAAATAAAACTGAGAAGATACAATAGGTGAATTTGAACTTGCAAAGCAAATTAAGAAATTCAGCTATTACATTTTTTAAATTCATAGCTAGGCTAGGATCAACACAACTGCATAAGATTCTAAAATATACTTTATAGATTGCATTCACAATGCTGCTTGAAACATTAATATTTTAAGCTAGATAGATTCATTTAATTTTTTTTTCCCCGGAACCGAGGATTGAACTCAGGCCCTTGCGCTTGCCAGGGAAGCACATATTCCACTTAGCCATCTCCCCAGCCCCTCATTTAAAATATTTATATAAACATATGACTGTACAAGTTATCTACTAAAGAATAATCTGAAGATAAAGTGAAAATACTTTTTTTTTGAGACAGGTTCTCACTGTGTACTCCAGGCTGGCCCTGAAATTACTTTGCAGCCCATGCTGGCTTCAAAGTCACTGTGATCCTCCTGCCTTAGCCTCCTGAGTCCTGGGATTATAGGTGTGTGCTACTATGCCTGGGCTGGAAATACTTTAATATCCTTTACAGATGCTCTGCCTTAGGAAAGAGGTGGTGTCCACATCGAATTGAGAGCGTCACACCTCCTTTGCAGCACCTGGACATCTTCAGGCATACTGAATTTATATTGTGGGAGTCGGGAGTCATCAAAGTGAGGCTCACCACATTAACAAATGGAGGCGACAGTCTCCATACCTAACAGTAATGCAAATGATCATCTGAGTCATCCGTGTGCACACAGCACCTGCACACACAGTCTTCTCCAAGGCCTCGGCACTGCCCAGCCTGCTGTGGCCAAAGTCTGAACAGAGGTGCAAGACAGTGCGGTGTGGGCCGACCAAATAGCTCCGTGGATTAAAGCTCCTGTAACAGGCCCAGGGGCCAGGGGTTCGATCCCCAGGCCTGCTGTGCCAGCCCCACCCCCAGAGTGCACCGAGACAGCAATTGAGACTGGGCGTTGTGGCACACACCTGTAATCCCAGCTCTTGGGAGGCTGTAAACAGGCAGATCACTACGTGTCCGATCTAACAGTGAGACCCTGAACACCCTGTAGACCCATCCTTAAAATACAAAAAAATTAAAAATTAAAAACAGTGCAGTGTGACGCAGCACTGGAGCTCCAGGGTTAGAGCTGTGGCACCTACACTGTCTGTCCTTCAGGGAGTCACCTGCCCTTTGTGAGTCTCTGCGAGGCCCACACTACAGTAGGCTCAGCCCTGGTGGCTGGGGCATTCATCGCAAGGCCCCTGCGGACACAAGATCCTGGACTTCCATGTCCACACCATACCATGGCACGGTATTTGCAGTCTAGGCTCCGAGAACGCCTCACACCACCTCTGGATTGTACAGGGCCTATGGCAGTGCTAACGCCAGCTCAATGGCCACTGTACTGTTCAGGGAGCAGAGGCCACAAAGCCCCGGCCTGGCCACTGCAGAGGCAGTTTCTTGGACACTGTCCACCTACGAGTGGTCACGTGCGGTGGCACATGGTGGTGCTGCCCTAGGGCTGCTGTGGAGACGGGCCGAGTGAAGCGCAACGTGGCACACATTCTTTCAGGGCCAGCTGTAACATCACTCTCAGTGTCACCATCTATGACATCCCATGACAAGCACCCTGCAGATGTCAAGAGCCCGGCAACACCTGCGGGGTGCGTCACAGCGCAGCCTGACCCAGCTGCCCGGGGTGTAGGTGGAGCCTTCCCTCCTCCTAGCTCTGGCCAGGTGAGACCCATGCAGCAGGCACCGAATCCAAGAGGACCAGGAGCCACTACTGATGACACTGCCTGTGACAAAGTCGAGGACAGCATTTGTACAGGACCATGTGATGTGAGAAAATGTCACTGACATGGAGGTGCGCGGGGAGTCCTGCAGGTGCAAGGGCATGGTGCCCGTGGTGCCTGTCAGCAAGTGACAAGGACAGAGAAGGCCACTGTGACCGACTTCATGGGTGCGGGGAGTGGGAATGAATTACTCTATTTTTGTGGTTGTTTGAATTTATAGTAAAACATTATAGAATTAGATATTTTCCCATAGTGAACTTGAGCAAAATAATTATATTCACGGTATTTCCTAGTCCTCTAGGTTGATGATCACTTTTTTTAGTTGAAGAAAATATTAAGTTCAGGAATCTCATCAAAATAACCAAAACAGCTTTTTTTCTTTGAATTTCAATTTCTATTAAGCCTTATAATCTCACTATTAAAAAGTGTTTCCTTTCACTTAACTTCTCCCCTCCAACCCGCACCTCCGGTCTATGGGGCTTGACTCAGAAATGCATGTGTGCTTCCCGAACCTGGACACATACCTGTGACTGCTCTGAGGTGGCTTCAGAGTGGGATCTGTCTGTGACACTGGTGACACTTACAGGAGATGCTTCCAGCATCACGTCATCGAGGCCCGGGATGGATGCCAGCTGAAGAAAGCAAACGAGTGAGCGAGTCAGAGTACAGCGCCTGGAGGTTGGACACGTCTGCAGGGGTGTGCGTGTGGGACATGTGCATCGTGTGTGTGTCAGGTGTGCATATTAGGCGTTTGTGAGGGGTGTGTTAGTGGTGGCCTCAACTCTTGAGCCCCTGTGAATTCCACAGGTTCGTAAAATCTCATCTTTAATTCTCTATGTCATAAACTTGGAAGTAAAAGACATTGGTAAATAAAATACTCAAAGTTTTCTCAAACGTAACTTAGCTAATAATTATTCTTATTTTTAATGCACAGAGCCCCGTATCACGGTCCCAGGCCCTGGCCCTGGGGTCAGCCTGTCGCCTCCCTCTGCACTCGCAGGCTGCGTGAGCCTTACCACTGCCTGCACGCTTCACCTGTTAACACCTGTGATGCAGGGATAAAGAGCAACGCAAGTTGTTGTAGAAGGTTTTTATTTAAAATATGTTATCTTGGGGCTGGCGAGATGGCTCAGTGGTCTAAAGCACCTACTTGGAACAAGCTTGGCAAAGCACAGGGACCGCGGTTCAATCCCCCAGCACCACATGCCAGCCAGCCCCGCCCCCTGGTGGGCTGAGCTGCCACACACACACACACACACACACACACACACACACTAAATAAATGTTAAAATATATATATATATATATATATATATATATATGTTATCTTTTAAAAATGCTCAGTAGAACACATTTTACTATTATTTTTATTTTTGTTTTCATTTCTTGAGACAGGGCCTCTCACAATTCTCCTGCTAGCCCACGTTTTAGGGGTTTTGTTTTTTGTTTTGTGGTACCAGGGATCAAACTCAGGACCTTGTACCTGCCAGGCAAGCACTTACTCCACTCAGCTATCTCCCCAGCCCTCTAGCCTACATTTTAAATTTCAGTTATCTGGGATGTGAAAGAAACCTCCTGCTCTTACATCTGAACGTGTGGCGCGGCGCGCTGCTCTTTCATGGCATCCAGTGGCGGTGTGGGGCCGTGTGCCTTGTCATCCCAGCTGCTAGGCACACTGTGCAGAATGGCCTAGCCCGACCTGGCTAACACACACACACACACACACACACACGTAATGGTACTAAAAATGTGTAGTTTCTCACATATGAAACAACAGTACACTCCCAGCTTTGCATCCTGAAGTCATTAAGAACGTCACATTAGATCTACAAGAGCTGTGCAAACTCTTTTGATCTTATTCTGATGGTCAGTGATTTGTGTGTGTCAGGTATTTGACTAACTTTACAGATTAACACTATTGCCATGGGACTAAACACAGTGAACTGAACTTGTGACCTTGAACTCTAACCTACAAGAATGCCCCAAACATTTATTTTGGGGGCTGGCTCAGCCTACCCTGATGGTGTGGCCAGCGTGGCGTGTGGTGCTGGGGATCCAACTGCGGCCCCCTGTGGCTGCCTAAGCAGGTGCTTTAGATGGCTGAGCTACCTTGCTGACGCCAAAAGGTATACTTGTTTGTTCGTTTTTTGTGGCTGGCTCAGCCCACCCTGGGGGCGGGGCTGGCGTGGCATGTGGTGCTGGGGATTGTACCGTGGTCTCTGCGTGCTTGCCTAAGTAGGTGCTTTAGACCACTGAGCTCTCTCCCTGGCCCAACCCTAAACTTTTTTTTGTGGAACCAGGGATTGAAGTCAGGCCCTGTGCTTGCCAGGAAAGCGCTTATTCCACTGAGCCAACTCCCCGGCCCCTCAACCCTAAACATTTAAACAGGATGTGCCGTCACAGGCCAGAGCTAAGGCGAGCATCAGTGGCACCGCGCTCTCCAGGGCGGCGCTCATGGCCGGCCAGCCACCCTTCTCGGTGCGGCGGCTGAGTGAGGCTGCACGGCCAGGGAGCCTGCGTGCTTGCCTCGAGCTCGGCAGAGACGCACGGCCGCCACCGGCCCGAGCGCTGCGCAGGGCGAGCCGGACCCTGCAGCTCCTGTCCTGAAGACGCGAGCATCGTTTCTTCTCTCGTAAATATGTATCAAGTATTTTAGGACATTTTTAAAAATTTAAGTTAATTTTTTACCTGACACATAAAACTGCACATTTTTATGGAATGTTTTCTTTGATAAACAAAACAAATCAAGTCACAGAAATGTAGTATCTTCATGAGCAGGAAAAAAAGAAATGCAGTGTTTTAAAAACTGAAATGAAGTTAAAATGTTACTGCTATTTACCAAAAACCTTAGGACTTCCGATCAGTACAGCCTTCTCTTTTTCAGTCACCTCTTGCAGTGTCCAAGACCACACGGACACCCCTCCCTACGCAGCTGTGTTACGCAGCTGGTCAAGGACAGCTGCTCAGGGAGCTTTGGGCCACCCGCCCCACATGGACTCCAGGAGAGCTCAGCCTGTTGACACATCACTCTCGCTGTGCTTCTGGCCAGTATAATGAAGGACAGCCCAGCCCGGTGCACACTTGGGAAGACACAGGTCATGGTTCATAAAGAACACTTGCCCTTGCAAGCTCTTTACAACCCTCAAGCCTGTACTACTTCACAGGTGCGCAAATTACGCTTCATTCATTCCCAACAGCAAATAAAGTGGCACTGAGGCTAATATATGTCCGACAAGGTTCATACTACAAATTTTATAAAAATACAAACCTTATAAATAAAAATTTAAAAAAAAAAGGGGGGGCTGGTGAGATGGCTCAGTGGTCTAAAGCACCTACTTAGAACAAGCTTAGCAAAGCACAGGGACCGCAGTTCAAT